CGGTGGAGGGAGGCGAGCCCCGCACCAGAAACCACCCTCCCGGCGGCAGCGAGAGCAAGAAATTCTCCTTCCCCTTCCTCCTGCACAACTCGCTGTCCCCTCCCTTCCCTTTTCCTGAATGCTGATTTCTGAGATGAAAATCTTCCTCTTCGGACAGCCAGGACTCGTGTGAAGGACACGCAAATATTGGATCATAAATAAGAAGCGAGTCTGGCAAGCTCAGAAACCCAGCCCAAAAGGAGCAGCATCAAGAATCCACCCTTCTCCTGCACAACTCACTCCCCACCCAACACACATAGAATACTAATTTCCTGAGATAAGATCTTACCCTTTAAACAACCACACACGCGAATACACACACACACGCACACACAGAGGGTGTATATTATTACTAAAAATAATAGGTTAAACCCAGCAGCACGGGAAAAAGCCTCTTCTGCAACTCACTCCCACTTTTCACCCTTCTGAATGCTGAGATCCTGAGGTAAATTTTTCCCTTACCCACAGCAAAGACTTTTTTTGAACAGGACACAAATATATATTCGATTATAGAGATGTATTAAATTATTCCAGATTTAAATCTATTTTTTGCTGCCAAGGGGTCAGGGGACCAGACATCGTTGTATTTTTTTTTTTTTCTTCCCTCTTAACTCATTTATGGGCGAGTCAAGGCTGCTGAGGAGGAAAAAAACAGGATAGTTGGAATCTCTTTATCCTTATTCCCCAGAAGCTTTTTCTCTCATTGCTGTGCATTTCCTTTAGAAAAAGGAAGCCTCTTATTTTGTGAACCAAAGATTTATTTTTCCCTTCCTCCTGGCCAAAGGAAGGAAACGAACACAAATTGACACATTTAAATAGTTGAAGAGATCTGTCTTTTGCAAAAAAAAAAACCAAACATCTTTATCCAAACCTGAAATAAAATGTGTGGAGGGAGAAACTGGAATATCTAGCTAAAACCAGGATACTTACTAATCTCGCCTCAGAAGAGGACGAGGTAAACACTAAACATCAACTTGTTCTTACAGGGAGGATTCAAACCCTAAATATAATAAATGGGGGATTACGGGTTTGGAGTGTTAGTGCAAAACAACACTGGAAATAAGTCAGCTTTTCCAGTCAGATTTCATCCACATCTGCAGCCTCCACACCATCATCAAAATGCAACCCCCAGCCCTGCTGCTTTTATAAATAATAACACAGCTGCCAATGGCAGTAGTGCTGGGTCAGCTTGGCTCTTTCCTGCTCCAGCTGCCCATAATATTCAGGATGAGATTCTGGGGTCAGAAAAATCCAAAACTCAGCAACAGGAAAAGCAAGAGTCCCTAGAAAAACAGCAGCTTTCCCCTGGTCAAAGTCAGGAAGCAGGCATGCTCTCTGAACCTGAGAAAGCTAAAACTGAAGAAAATCAAGGCGATAATTCTTCAGAGAACGGCAATGGAAAGGAGAAAATAAGAATAGAGTCGCCGGTGTTAACAGGATTTGATTATCAAGAAGCTTCGGGGCTAGGTACTTCAACGCAGCCCTTGACATCCACTGCATCTTCTCTGACTGGTTTTAGTAACTGGTCTGCAGCTATAGCTCCTTCTTCTTCTACAATAATCAATGAAGATGCAAGTTTTTTTCACCAGGGAGGGGTCCCTACTGCCTCAGCTAATAATGGTGCTCTGCTGTTTCAGAATTTTCCACATCACGTCAGCCCTGGCTTTGGTGGTAGCTTTTCCCCCCAAATTGGACCCCTCTCTCAACACCACCCTCATCACCCCCATTTTCAGCATCATCACAATCAGCATCAGCAACAGAGGAGGTCTCCTGCAAGTCCTCATCCACCTCCATTCACACATAGAAATGCTGCTTTTAATCAATTGCCTCATTTGGCTAATAATCTTAACAAGCCACCTTCTCCATGGAGCAGCTACCAAAGTCCATCGCCTACACCATCTTCATGGAGCCCTGGTGGCGGTGGATACGGTGGGTGGGGTGGGTCCCAAGGTCGAGACCACCGCAGGGGACTGAACGGAGGGATAACACCCTTGAACTCCATCTCGCCCTTAAAGAAGAATTTTGCAAGCAATCATATCCAGTTGCAGAAATACGCTCGACCCAGCTCAGCGTTTGCTCCAAAATCGTGGATGGAAGACAGTTTGAATAGAGCTGACAACATTTTTCCTTTTCAGGTGAGCACACTCTGTCATATCCATAAGAAAAACCACACGTAAGTGCATTAAAATGCCCTAGAAAGGGTCGGGTGTTTGAACAGTACAGTCTGATTGTAGGACTTCTGTGCTTGCACCTAAAAAAAAAAAATATACACGGCTAACTTGAAGTGTCATAGTGTGAATTATGCTCCAGGGTGTGCACCATGGTTGGTTGGGTTTTTTTAATAGTGGTGGTCATATAAATATCTGTTGCCCACCAGACATCTGTATTAGCCAGTTTCCTTCAGCTTAATGCACGCGTTCAGAAGTAGTCGATGAACTATATTCAGTTACAAGTAGCAAGTCTATCTACAAAAAGGAGTAAGGGCAAAAGTGCTGCCTGATGCAGTATGAAATATCTGAGGCCTTCTGAAGTATTTGAGAATGTACCACATGTGAGAAAAAGTATGAAGTGATTGTGTTTTGTTTTACAGTATCATATGGACTTGTAATGCAACGTAATTTTTGTGTGTTTTTTGGGGAATTTTTTATTCTTTATTTTTTACATGATGATAATCAATGCAGTTTGCTTTCCTCGATAATGGCAGCAAATTTTGGTTACAGGCCATTAAATCATCACCAAAAATAGATCTGGATGAGTGTCAGCTGGTGGTCTCCTGTATTTTAATATGGCCTTATCCTGGCAGGAGGCAGGTTGTCTGGCAGTTCAACCTCTCCTTCTAGGCTGGCTTTTTGTGATTTGAAAAGAACTGTCTAATGTTGAACCTAATTTGCAGTAAAAATTAAACCAGAAGTACTCTTCATCTGACCACTAGTTAAACCTAGCTTTTATGTGGTGTGCCTTTTGTAAACTCCTTTAGGGTGAATCCAAAAACCCAAGAGCTCTTTTACATTTAGAGGGTTGTTTTTCAAGATCTTCAAATGAGGGCAAAAGTAAAAATTTCAAAATGATCGCAGTATTTCTAGCCGTGCTGTAAGAACCAGGGTGACCTACTTTAAAATAATTTGAAAGATCTGTAGATTAAAACTGTGCAATACATCTCATGTTATAAACCACCCTAAAGAAACAGAAGTATATTTAATAATGACTTTGTGGATTCAGACATAGGAACAGCTCAGTTCTTCATCAACTGTGCAGTTTCTGTTCGGTTTGCAGGGCCTGCCTACGCTGCAGCCTTCTGACAGCAGAGCAGCTGCTGGCAGTTACTTCCCATTAGAGACCTTTTTTCTATTGCAGAGCTACTAGCTGGTTCAATGTCAGGTAGAGCCCTTGTAAATTTAGAATGCATGGTAATAATTGATTTTAATGTCAGGATTTGTAATTAATATAATGAACCTGTGTCCAGCACACTGAATGTATACACTGAAACCATTAGAAAAAGGGGCACGGCTGGACGGTCTTTTTTTCAGCCTCACTGCAGCGAGACTTGGCTCACAGTTTAATTCATTCTGTACCCTGACACGCAGCTGATGTTCAGAGTGACAGAATGAGATCAAGGGTGTCCTGGCTGCTGTGTATAAGGCCCAGATATATATACACAGCAATAGAAATATGCTTGGTTTGACATCAAGGAAATTTCAGGAAATTGGCAAAGTCAACCTCAACTTCAGGGTTGTGTTCCAAACATAAAATATCAGACACGCGTATTTTGATCACGGTAAAGAAATAATTTTTGTGTAGCATGTTGGTATTTGTTTACATAAACACTACGATGAAGCTGTACATGTCAAGACCAAGTCTGACACTCCTTCATGCCAAGAAAAGGAAAGTGTTGGAGCGCAGTGCTTTCCAGTCTGTTACTATCACTTCTGTGAAGAAAAGGGCAGGGCGGCTAAACAGGACTTCAGCGCTGCAGACCTAGAAAGATGCTGATTAATTTTGAAGCCATCTTGGACAACTGCTTTTTAGAACTTTTTTTTGTATAAAATCTTTAGCTCCTTTGGGGACTTAGTCATGTGTGTTGCAAGCATACTGAATTTTTGAATCGCTGGAAACAAATGAAGTAAAACTTGACCTTTGGTATCTTTTTATTTTTTCTTGGTTATGCTGACTGTGTGCCTGACTCAAACCAGAAATAAGGAGTTTTGCTTATTGTATATTTCTGTTCATGCATATATATATATATAAAGTACCTTTGATGATGCAATCATGCACTGGACAAGGCTATTTTGTTACTGGAATCTTCTTAGATTTCTATTTAGGAAATAATTGAAAGCTGTCTTTGCTGCAGCAACTTAATGGAGTAATTTGATACAACTATCCCTTTCATTTAATATTTATGTTTTGCTGCTTAAATCATTAACAAGTGTTGCTGCAATCTAGTGAAAATTAGTTTCTTTAGAAACAAGATGTAAACCAGCAATTGTGAATATTTGGGCATCACTTTCGTTTTTCTCAAAGGCTGTCTCTACTCCAAAGGTTGGTGAAACACAGAAGTCTGTGTTTTGATGGAAATCTTAGGGTAACCAAGTGTAAGTGCTTGTTTCCTCTTTGGAGAGGACAACATTGCGTAATGTCCCTATAAGCCACTAACGTGAACTATTGCTACTTCAAATATTTCTGCCTGTGGCCCTTAGATGCTTGCGATGAAGTGGGCATTCCAAATGGCACAGGGGAAAGGAAAATACTGTGGCGATCTGTTTGATAAGCTCGCGGTTTGATGACTGCTAGCTCGGTATTGACAGCTGCATGCAAAACACTGTGCTTCTTGTTCTGAGTGGTTTTCATTTGAAATTCTGTCTTGTAACAGTTCAGAAGTAGCATGTCTGTAGGAACCAGAGATGGAACTGGAAGCAAGGTTGGAGAAGACCAGATCTGTTACTGAAATTAAGTTTTGATACTGTGCTTTAGCCACTGGGCAGGCTTCCCCCTTCAAAGATCTTTTGAAAAGAGAAAAGCCATTGTTCTTTGTGCCTTCATTTGAAAAGGAAATGGTCTCCAAATGAAAAAATGGTTCCTGAATTAAAAAAAAAAAAAAAATTGAGTCTTTTGGATATAACAGCCTTCATGAGAATTAATAAATGAAAATGCTTTGACTGTGACTATTGCATCTTACAAAGTTACTGATACTTTTAAAGAATTCCTTCTACTTCCCTCCCAGCAGCATGAACAAACTAAGTGCTCAGTAATTGCTTTTTACTGCAGCATTGCCCTCAAGATTGTTTTGTCTTTCCTTTTGCTATGTACTCGCACTTCCTCATGAGCGGAACATCCTGCCTGTTATGCAATGCATAAATCTTGCTTTGATAGGCATTTCCAGGTTTCCAGATCTCATCTTCAAATGCCTGATGATGTTTTTTAAATGGGTCTTTGAAGGCACAAGCAAGTTAAGCAATAGTGTTCAACTTTCTGTGAAAATGCTTAAAAATCATTTGCGTTTCTTCCTGGAATCAGGCTTGAAAACGACTGCCCCTTTCAAAGAATTTTGCACATGAGAGCATTATATCCACTTGTTCAAAATGTTTTTTCCTTTCTTCTACAGTGGCTAGTTTCCAGGTATATAACCCCTTCCAAATCCATTGAGGGTCTGTGCCAGAGAGACTTTTTCTTCCCCCAGGCAGATACGGAATGTTTGAGAAAACACATACGTGATTACAGAATGTATTTTAATTCTGAGCTATACGTCATGATTTGTTTGCCCATAGAAATGGGTTGATTTAATAAGTGTGTTAAACATTCATGGGCAACTGGCATTGAAAAAACCCCTCTTGAATGCATTTGCCAATTTTTCCTCTTGAAGGAATTTTGCAAATAAATTTCTTTACCATGCCTCTTTATTTTAATGGTTTTTTCTTTGTTTTGAGGAACCTTTTCATAAATCATGCTGGATGGTTACATAAGACGAGGCTACTTGATTCGCAGAAAGTTGTGCCGAAATTTGTTTTTATTCTAGGAACAGCAATTAATCAAAAAATTTCCGACTATCATTTTAAAATAGAATACTTGAAGTTGGATTTTTAAATATCGGGTCACCCATTTTTCTATAGCTACATCAGCTGCGTAGTAATTAGTATTTTGCATGCTGTTCCCCACAGCTAGTGATGTGTGGAATTAGAAGCACTCTAATGTGGTATGACATGCACGAGTTAAGTACTGTGGAAGTTAACACTGTTCTTGTTTTATAAACTTACTACTGACGTTAATACTTCAGCTTTGGCCCTCCTGTGCGTTTTTGACCTCAGGGTTTCTTTTTAAAGAGAGCTTTTGTTAGAAGCTATTTGAATTATGTTTGTATTTTCCTAAGATTAAAAGGAGTACTCTTATTAAGCGTTTTGCTTTGAAAAATGCATACTTAGCAGCCCAGCATAAAGATTGAGAACACAAGATATTGTGGAAAATAATTTATAGAAGATACATAAAAAGCTTAATATGTGGCTAAAATAGAACCAGACGTGTTACTGGAAATTTTTGTAAAGGTCTGTAATTTCTAACACTTAAAGTTGAACTTTTTTGGGGTTTGTTTTGTTTTTTTTTTTAACTAAACCAGAAGTGCTCCCTTCCAAAAAAAAAAATCCTATGTTATGCGTCACTTAACTTTTCCAGTTTTTTCTTATTGTTCCCTGGCGAAGCTATAAAAGATGATCAGGGCAGTGTACAGCAACATCCTTTCAGGAAAAACCTGTTTATTCAAAGCCTTTAATTCACTGGATACTGGACTGGGGAGCTGGAATACAGCATTTTCAGGGTGGTGGGAAGGAGGAGAAGCTTACCCAGAAGCATAATCAAGTCCAAATTTGCTTTGCAATTAAAAGAAAAATGTGAATCTTGTATTTCATACCGACAATATTACCTCTCCCTACATACTTTACTTTGTCTGGGACATGAGGCTTTTGAATTGTGGGTTTCAGCAAGTTTCAGGCTTCCTGTGCTATAATGAGGGCAGCAAAATGAGTTTGCTAATTTTCACAAGGATTCTGGTTTGACAAAGATTTAAATATATAAAATAAGCCCCAGTTTTACAACTACACCTACTCCATAAATACTGCTTAATCACCTTCAATACGTTGCTTAACACACT